ATAGCCATATCCACCGTAGCGACGATATCCGGGGTCAGCCACAGGGTCAGGCCCAGGCATGGCACTGCTCCGGCTCACCAGGCACGACAGGACCACAGCCACGAGAGCAAGCATCGAAAACTGTACAAAAAACGAAAAAAATGGAAAGAAAATAGTTCGTGGGAAATTATTCACTGCTATACTTTCTTTATAATTTATGTATGTGTAAGATTTAGTTGATGTTATTTGAATTACACATACACGCAAATGATGACTAAGAATCATGTTGAAATGGAAATTTTGATACTACCACTACTACTATTACTGTTAAAAGCATAGAACATAAAAGAACTTAGAACATAAAAGATAATTGAGATGGAAATTATATCAATATTTCGAGGTTGTGTTACTAACTTTTGAAAATTGCCCAAAGCTTTATATAAAAATAGGAATGACTAGTAATTATCACTGTCTTAGCTATTACATCATTCCTCCTACAAAGACACACGTGTACTCACGACCCCCCCCCCCCCCACACACACACATGTAGTCACAAACACACACACGTGTCATCACAAACACACGTGCTCACAAACACACATGTAGTCACAAACACACACACGTGTCATCACAAACACACGTGCTCACAAACACACATGTAGTCACAAACACACACGCGTCATTACAAACACAAACATACGTACTCACAAACACATACAAGTAGTCACAAACACACAAACTTACATATTCACAAACACACACAAGTAGTCACAAACCCATGTTCACACAAACACGCACATGCACTGAGAGCTATATAAAGATCAACACAAAGAGAGATTATACAGAGGTATGAATTATCCGAGGCTTGACCGCAAAGTACTTTTTCGTGACCGGAGCGCCACGAGACTTCATTCAATGCGCTGGAAAATAACCTGTTGCCATGGAAGGAGCATGAGTCATAATGAGTCTTTACTTCCCACATACACGCTTGAATAGCAGAGAGATTTCCTTACCAGCTTCATGTTTAAGAGTATGGAGATGTCCTGTGCTCGGCGGAGACAAAGGAGAATGTGTTCCCAGAGCAGCTTGGATGTGAATTTATATACAGTACGTAACAGAAAAAGACACAAGGTGACTGTTTTTAGGAGTGTGCTTGTCGGACCATCTATTCTCTCTCTCGCAATCACGCACTTATTCACAAGATCGTATTCAGATAGAATCGTCTATTTATCTTAATTTATCTATCTATCAAAAAGTGTCATGCCCGTAAATGTGTATATGGATATAAGTAGATGCCTTTGTGTGTGTGGGCGCGCGTGCAGCTACGTATTCGTAGGCGAGCGCACGCGTGGGTGTGTGGAAACGAAAACCATGTCAGTGGAACGAGATTGCACGTGTGAAAAAGACTAATTTCAACCTGAAGTTATGCAATGTTCAGGTAATCTATTTACTTTGGACGGAGAAAATAGCAACTAACGACATCATGTAAAGCAGGGCAAAAATAATACCTACATACAAATACACACACACACGCACGCACAAATGTACACATATGTAAATATGCATGGATGTATGCATACATATCTATATGCAATATCTATATCTATAGGTATATATGTATGTATATATGTGTATATATTATATATATTATTATATATATATATATATATATATATATATATATATATATATATATATATATATATATATTTATATATATAAGTATATATAAATATATATATATATATATATCAATATACATATACATTATATATATTATATACATATATATATATATATATATATATATATATATATATATATATATATATATATATATATATATATATATAATATATATATATATATTACATATATATATATATATATATATATATATTATACATATATATATATATATATATATATATATATATATGTATATATGTATATATATATATATATATATATATATATATATATATATATATATATATATATATATATATATATATATATATATATATATATATATAAACATATATGTATATATATATATATATATATATTTATATATATATATATATATATATAATATATATATATATATATATATATATATATATATATATATATATATATATATATATATATATATATATATATATATATATATATATATATATGAACACACACACACCCATACACATATATATAACACACACACACACATATATGCATATATATAAGCATATGTATATGTATAAATATATATAGATTTATGTGTGTACACAAACATGTATATATGGTTACATACATGTTCATATGCAAGTATTTAGGTGTATATGTATACATAAATGAATAAGTAAATAAATACATATGCATATGTATATTTATTTTTATATGTATACACACATGTGTATGTATACATAAATATATGTAAATATATATGTATATATACACACATGTCTATATATATACCTACCTACACACACACACACACACACACACATATATATATATATATATATATATATATATATATATATATATATATATATATATTATATATATATATATTTATATCATATCATATATAAACCTTCCCACACACACACATATATATATATATACACGTATGTATATTCATCTCTATATATACTATAGCATAGGTATATTCAAGTATGTATGCACGTTGTATTCCTATAGATCTATATGTATATATACATATACACACATGCATGCATATATACACATAGCTGAACAGTTGTATAAATGTATATGTATGTTTGTATTGTATATATACATATATATACAGACACACGCGTATAATATAGATGACTGTATATATGTATATATACGTATAATATACATATGTATAAATATATATATATATATATATATATATATATATATATATACATTATATATATGTATATATATATATATATATATATATATATATATATATATATATATATATATATATATGTATATACACATATATATATATATATATATATATATATATATATATATATATATATATATATAGGCAGCTGTATATATTCAAGCTTATATGCATAAATATGCATATACTTATATATGTCCCTATGAATCAAACCTGTTTTTTTTTCTCTATGTACATGGTCCACATACGCATTTGTTCGCGCGTATACATATATATTTATATATATACATAATTTGCCTCCTGTAATTAAAGAGAGAAATAACGGGAGAGAAGAAAAAGTGACTGACAGACAGAGATAATTTGCACTTAATTATGAAATATATATAGAAGTGAAACTTTCCACGTTGCTCAAGGCCCCCGCGAAAAACAGTGACCTTGAGTCTTTCCTATAGCATATATAAGTCGGACTCGCGTTGCTGTAGATGCATAGTCTCTCCGCTTTCTTCGCTGAGCATACAACGCAAACTTGTCCTCAACATGAAACTGGTAAGTCCATTGAATTGATAGTTGACTGAGATTAATATTCATCTGTTGTTGGGAAGATACAGTAAGATAACAGCAGTTTAGCTAAGTGTGACTTTAATTTGTTGGCGAGACGATGTACGAAGATTAATTGTCATATTTTTTTGTAAACTTCCAATTACACATTTCAACAAGGGACTGTAAGAAAAAATAATAGAATAGAATAGAATAGAATAAAATGATATCATTAATAGATAAAAAATAATGATAAAAACACAAGATTAAATCTCCTTTGACGCAAATTTGATAAAGATGAAATAGGTAGCTATTCTTACGTTACATTTTCCACTTTACTGCAGCTGTCGATGACTGTGGTCCTGGTGGTGGCCCTGGCATGCCTGGTGAGCTGGACCAGCGCCATGCCTGAGCCTGACCCCGTGGCTGACCCTAATCCTGGCTACCGACGTTACGGTGGGTATGGTGGATATGGTGGGTATGGAGGATACGGGGGCTACGGAGGTGGATATGGAGGATACGGGGGCTACGGATACGGAGGATATCGCGGTGGCTATTTCGGATAAAGATACTGCTGACGTCGCTGCATTGAGAACCTTGATACGGAAACTACATGACGATCGAAAAATCTCTTTTCCTCTAATTCTCTCTGAAATAAACTCCATGAATGAAACTTTACAACATTGATTATCCTTGCAAAATATTTCATATTTACGGATATATATATTTAAATATATTATAATATATATATATATATATATATATATATATCTTATATATAATATATTAAATATATATATATATATATATATATATATATATATATATATATATATATATATGTATGTATATCGCAAGTGATATATATATCTAAATATATATCATATATATATATATATATATATATATATATATATATATATATATATATATATATATATATGAAAATGAAACTAGCCACAATGAGAATTGAAAATAAACGAAATACGCTTATTTTCAATTCTCATTGTGGCTAGTTTCATTTTCATCTTTGTGTTCACGTGATTTGTGTTTGTGCTTGTGTTCATATATATATATATATATATATATATATATATATATATATATATATATATATATATATATATATATATATATATATATATATATATATATATATATATATATATATATATATATTCACAGTGATATATATATATATATATATATATATATATATATATATATTATATATATATATATATATATATATATATATATATATATATATATATATATATATATATTCACAGTATATATATATATATATATATATATATAGTGATATATATACATATATATATATATTTAAATAAATATATATATCATATATATATGTCTGTGTGTGTGTGTGTGTATGTGCGCGCGGGTGTGTACAAATGTGTGCTTATGTATAAGCACATACGCATATATGTACATGAAAAAAGAAATCTGAAGGTACTCCTCCATGGTACCATAAGAATGGGAAATCAGATTCTAGGTTCAACTAATTCAATAGTGAAGCATGAATACATGAATCAAGTGTACTGCCGCT